CCGATCCTACGCGGTCGGACTCTCTCGCGCGCGAAGCGGTCGGACTCCAAGCCTGCGCGGTCGGACTCCCTCGCCTAAGACTCGAGAAGGAGAGCCGGAGAGCCTAACCGTCTAAAGACGGAGGTGGGCTTAGCGTTTTCGAAGCCTGACGTGGACCGATCCGAAATCTTTATAACTGCCATCGCCGCAGTGAGCAGAAGCCACAGAAGTATCGCGTATGAAGCGGACAAGTCGAGCGAAAGGACGAAGAAATGGCAGCAGAACCGATATTCGTAGTATCGCGGTATCCCAAGTGGTATTCCACAGACGAAGGGCACGAAGAGGCTTACGAATGCCTAGAGACGAAGGGGCTCTTCGAGGCGGTCAGAGACTTGATGGTGGACGGGCAGCGCAGACTGTCGTTCGAAGAAAACAGATGGCGACCTCAGGTCGCGTACAAGAAAATCAGAGAGGACGTACTGAACAGGGCCGAGGCGCTGCTGTCGCGCCAAAAGCCTTCTCGGTCGCTGTTGATGGCCCTCATGGATCTGGTGGAGGTTTTGGGCGGAACCGAATTCGGCTCCGTGGCCACGTCGGACAGAGCCGGGCTCAAGCACGTGCTCTTGATATACGGAAACTACACCGCGTACTACATACCGAACGACGAGCTGCGGAAAAATAGCCGTCGCACGGTGATACCCGTGGTCACCCAGTATTCCGAGAAGCACAATTTAGTACGCTTCGACGCCAGGAGGTCTATGATCGGCACCTACAGTGCCCTCATCCCGCACGAGGGCGGCAAGAAGTCTTACTTTTTGCAAGAGGTGCTTTTCACCCCGGGACTCAAGAGCCTGCAGCTCCTGCGAAAGATCGCGGGCGACATGTTCGAGTTTTGGGACATGGCCTTAGAGATGCCCACGCGCCTCGACGCGCTCGCGCCCTCGTTTCAGCAGATACAACCGTGTCAGTTGTTACTCGACGCGGGAGAGGGCGCGCAACCCGGGGACGACGACGACGAGGACGAGGACGAGGATCTGTCCTCTCAAATGGAAGAGATCATGCCCATGTGCTGCGCGCCCGGCGGTCTCGAGGACCGCGAAAAGAAAAAGAAACGCGACGCTAGCAACGACTGCTTCGACGAGAGCAAGATCAAGT